CTTTGTAACATGAGAAACATCCCCTGTTGATTCTGCCTTTTCATAGTATGAGTCTGCTGTTGAATTAAGTGCATCAATATCTAGTCTTATTCTTTTTCTTTGATCCTTGAGGTTGTCAACTTCATCTTCCAAGTGCTTTCTCTTTCTCTCTTGTTCATCTGATGTCTTCTTACGCTTTTCATCTTGCAAATATTGTTCATACCTCTTTCTTGATAAAGATGCTGATTTCAGTAGATCTTTTGTAATACCTACTTTAAGCACCCCCCCAACTGCATTTATATGATCATATACAACACGTTTGGCAACCAATGTCCTTTGGCTTATGTTATCAGCTGATGTTTCTTTGTTGACAGAGAAGCCTCGCTCCACAGAAGCCTGGCCATGGGATAGGACTAAAAGAAGTTTAACCACTTGAAGAAGCTTCTTGTAGGATTCACTTGACATATGTTTAGAAAGAAATTCATCAACCCTGTCCTTTTTCGGATCGAATCCTGTAAACAAAGCACTTCCTATGACAGGAATTGYCTCTAAGAAGTTGTCAAATTCATGCAGAATACCATCACATTCACTTTCCTTGACCTTATCTGCATTTACTAAAGCAACYATAATACCTTTCATCTTARATCTACAGTCTGCTGCATTCTTGGCCATAGCTCTTGGGTYTAAGGCACTCATATTTCTGACCAAAGAATAAGAAATGGGACACTTGAAAAGGATTTTCTTAAGTGCAGTTATCAAAAATGTTTTACAATCAAGCCTTAACTCMATTGCCTGCTTTGGACTAACATCACCCTTTCGTAGGGCTTCCCTTAATGACTTTTCTGCAGAAAATCCTAAMTMAATTTGTTTGTAGCCTTTGTGGTTCTTCTTATCCTCTACATCAATCTTGCTGAGCTTTTCATGAGTAGATGCCTGTTCAAGTACATCATCTTTAATGAACTTCCTCATAAGTACTCTGATAAGACTGCTCAAGTCAGAAACTAGGAAGCAAACCATAGGCTTGTCTGTTTGGTATAAAGTTAGGAATGGTAAAAGGTGTCCTGCAATGCATTGGAACACTTGAAGTTTGCATTTAATCAACTTGTCATTCATGGCCTCCTTTACTGTTTCAAAGGACTTGTTGGATGGAWTTTTGATAGATTTCTCTTTGACAGCTTTAACAAATGCCTCAACCCTGTCCCATACATTTAGGGCTCTTTCACACACAGGCATATTTTCTAGCCAACGATGGYTACAGAACTTTAATGSCATTAAATTGTTTTCCATTGAGCTGGAAACATTCATRTAGTCATCCCTTCTGGCTGGCGAGTCTTTGAAGAGTCTGTAGAGACTTAACAACAGAGTGGAAATATCCCACCCAGAGGCAACAGCACCAGCCTTAAAACTATTATGTATAATATGWAACCCACAAGAACCAMTATTTATCAATCCAGTATCAAATTCATCTRACAGTTTGTTCTTCACCATTTTGTAAAATTTCCAGTTCACATTGGGTCCATCCATACTAATTTGAGCCAAGTTTTTAATRGGCAAGCCACTTTCTAAAACTCCACCTGAAAAATGTTTCAGCATATCCTCAGCAGTTGTGTGACCTGAAAATGAATAAATCCAAAGACATYAAAAAAAGGTTTGAGTTTTGAGGCCCTTTGTTCCTATCATAGAACCAAATCGCCATAGATATAGATAATTGTTGCAATATTACAACAGAAAAGCTATCAAACAGAATTTCTCACAATGGTAATTATGGAAGTACAATAAACATTTTCTATGTAAGACCCTAACAGGCTCYACATAATTGATAAACACTTACCCAGAAACTCTGATCCAAAGTAACGAGATACAACTTGATTGCTTTTCCAATATCGAACATGAATGTCCATTTGCTGCTCTTGAGTTTTCTTATTAAGGCTTTCATCAAACAAAACAGTAAAAGAACCTTTCACATCATCCTTGAGAAGGCGTGAAAAGTGTTCAGCTAACCCAAACACACACATGTAGGCTGTCTTTTTTTCACCACAGGTGAATTTTGAAGCAATAACACTGTCTGGAAACATAGCCTGTAGAATTTTACCCACTTCTTCATTTGATTTAAACGATGTATGAGCAGCTATTGAATGCAAAGTCCATAATATTTCCGACTTGAGAACTTCATCAGTATTGGTATAAGCCCTCACAGATCCACGTGCTTGGGGTTGAGCTTTGTCAACAGGCGGTGCTGGGACTGTAAAATTATTAACACTAGTTTCGGCTTCGTTAACAGTTGCTGAGTCATCTTGAGCGCTTATTTTTCGATGTT